GATTTTTTTCCCGTCGCTGTTCACGTGGCTGGTTCATTTTAAGTTATGAAGATTCACATCAGGAATGGTGGAAACAGTCGTAATTAAGAATTCTGCTTTTAAAATTGTCTTAAACAAGTTTGTTTGAAATGTCCCATCTTTAGTCTCTTGGCCCCAAGGCCTTCCACATCCATCTCCAATCGGGAACAGAAAAAGAGGAAAGTGAAAGTGAAAAATTAAAGGTACAAATACATATGTGAGGAATGTTGTGTACAATGAAGTGGAATAAATGGGGAATTGGTGCTCCATATGGGGCTGTGAACCTGCTCAGAGCTGAGAGGCGAGACACTCATTACAGCCATGAATCATTCTTCATTGGCTGTTATCAACTGTGTGCGCACAGAAGATGGATGGATGACAATTATGTTAATAACAACTTGCGTTTTTAGAGGAATAACGTGCTAAAAAACATTTAACCACATTTTGAGGACAACCGTCATCAAATTACTGGGAAAATAATCTACTTTTTTAGAATTTAGAATAAAATGTTTCTGTGTTTATGATATATAACTGTTAAATGACATAGTTTTGAATACATAATACTTTTTTTAATTACAAGAATTGCAATAAAATTACTTTTTAAACTCTCCAAACAGTTTAACACTGCTTATGTAGAATGTGTCTGGGTGCTTTAAACAAAGACAGGCAACAATCAGTGTGCTCAATTAACTGTATAATGATTAAGACATCAGTTACCAATTTGATTGATGAGACCAAATGATCCGATTCATTTTCTTCATCCAGCGGAAAAACGGTGAGCAGCAAGAGGAGAAAATTTGTTGATTAATGGTTTGAATGTGCAGAAAAAACCCTTTCAGAATAAAAAGTGCAATTTAATGTAAAGACGGGTTATTTTACGTCTTCAGTACAGGAGTTGCTCATCAAAGATTTATTGAAAGCGGGAAAATAAAAAGCACAAACATTATTAAAATGCCAGATTAAAAATATTTATTTAAAATTCCATTTGTTTTTCTAATTAATTGATTGGATTGCATAAAAAGTTAATGTATCAGATGAATATATTCCTATTCTCTCCTGCCATTGATGCTGATGATGTTCCTCTACTCCTCTAACAATGGCCTAAACAATGTTTGAAGAGCGCCTTGAGACCAGCTTGGGCTAAGGCTTTCGTTTTTATTCTGTTCGTGTTGTCGATGTGTAGAGGGATAATTGAGGCGATCTTTGACTATGGGATCTATTTATACAGGGCATAATTCCCTCTGTATTCAGGCATTATCATGGTGTCAGTACAAGCACAATGGCACAATAAGGTCAATATAATGAAACTCCAAAACAATATGGTGCCATTTGTGGAATAAAATGCAACCCACTCTTGATTTGTTTGGGCCAGTTCTTGTTGGAATTATGTTGAACGTAAAGCTAAATTATTAGAAAGACTTTGTTTAACTTAATGCAATCAGAATTGTGTAGGGTTTTGATTCTGGTTTTAAAATGATCCTGATCTAATATAATCATATTTATTGTGTGGTCAATGCAAAACATGATGTTTTTGTTATAGAAGTTTAAAATCTAACAATAATTATGCAGCTGTTTTTTTTTACCCATTTTTGTCATATCAGAAAGAAAAAAAAGCTTCTGGAGCCAAAATTACATCATTTATCCTTTTTTTTCACATGAACAATTTGACAAACACCCCCTTTATGCTGGTCTCATATCACTCTGCTTGACTTTCCCCTCGGTGTGAATTCAGTTAGATTGCCTGTTCAGTTTCACTTGGAAAAGGTTGATAAAAGGAGGTTTTCACTTTCTCAATTCGATGTGACAGCTCCCTAACAAGAATAATGGAACAGGCCCATTCACAGGCAAATCAAGCTAATCCAGCGTGCCCCTCCGCTCTCAATGGAGAAGTCACAGTCCTACCCGGCCCATTCCATCACAAGCCTCTCTCCTCAGGAACCTCCAGAGTTTATCCCGACTCCTCCAAAAGACAACGTTGCTCTTTGTGTGCCCTCTTTCACTCAGCATCAAATGGATAAACAGGTCAATAAATGTATACAAAGTCAGATGGGAAACAAAACCGAGGCATACAATTGGTGTGTTTTATATGTAATCTGATTTCACCGATTCTCACTCCTTTCTGCGTTGTCAGAAGCAGATGGATAAATATTCTTTGAGAAGACTGACGGATGAGACGTAAATAAAAACTTTTACAGCCAAATACTAAATGATGGACATCCTTCAAGTGTTTTTCACCGAGTGCCCTCAGTGATGGTATCAAGTTTGACAAGTTGTCCTCTTCTCTAGAATGATGTTTATTTTCCTTCCAATTGCTTTAGGGGTAAACTGTCATGATCCATGAGCCGAGGTGAGCGCTCCTCCTCACTAAACCATCTTTGAGGTTCTCTTTCCACAGGTGAGAAGCAGAGGGGACACCAGCTGTGCTGCATTCATAATCAGAGGCTCTGGTATAAAAGGAGGATGGAGACACCACTCAACGCCGGATGATTGCTACAGTTTTGGTTAGCTCCAGCCTCTTGTATTTCGCTTGCTCGCTCGTTTGACTTCTCGTGTTTGGATTATTGGATTTTTGACCTTGGACTGTTTTCTTGGATTACGACTTTGGATTCGCCTCTGAACCCAAGTCTGCTTGCCCCTGTTTAGGAATACCATCTACTCCTTCACCTACTCTGCCGAGAACCCCGGATCTTCAGGACCACGTCCCATCCTCCTCCACGGCTCCTGCTCCTCTCCTCTCCGCTTCCTCACCTTCCCCGCTCTGCTGGACCCCCACCCTCGCTCAACTCGGGTCATCACCTGTTTCGCTGCTTGCTGAGCTTGAACTCTGGACTAACTCCTTACGGCATCCTACTCACTGGACTTCCAGTGCACCTTTAGTTCCCGCTCTCCAAATAAAATACTTTATTTTTACTTACCTCCTGAGTCCCATGTTGATTCTGCATGTCTTGGGTTAGACGCCTCCCTCAAGTCATGACAGAATCATCCGGCCAGCACACTAACCCAGCGGAATCAGCACTGGCATACCTGGCTACCCGGATATCCCAGCAGGAACAGACACTTCCCGTCCTCCTCAAAGAACTGGCGGTCACTAATCAGCGTTACCAGTAGTTAGAGGCGCTGGTCCAACAACTCCATGACCGATTACCACCACCAGCCCCAGCTCCGGTCCCGGAGTCAACCCCGGAACCAACGCCACTCGCCCCAGCAACAGCGGAACTGCCCGGACCGGAAGTTCTTGGTCCTACGGAAGTCACCCACTTCCACCTAGCTCCTCCTCCGCCATGTCCGACATTCTCTGGTGAGTTTGAGGACTGTTATGGGTTTCTGTTGCAGTGTCGTCTGGCCTTTGAATGTTCTCCAAGCACCTTTTCTTCAGGCTCAGCAAAGATATCATTTATTGTTGGACTGTTAAGAGGAAAGGGTCTTAGATGGGCTTAGGCTAAGAGCCGCAACCCCGAGTTTTTATCTGGTCCCTATGCAGAATTTCTGGACGATTTTAAACTAACCTTCTGCAGTTCTGAAACCCTCACGGACATTCGAAAGAAACTGTTTTACCTCTCCCAGGGACGGAGGACGGTGGCTGACATGGCACTAGAGTTCAGGACAATGGTGGCCATGATGACATGGAATAATGACACCTTAAAAGCAGCGTTTATTGAGGCTCTAAACAACAAGGTGAAGAACCAGTTAGCTCTGTGTCCTGAGCCGTCCACCCTGGAGGGTCTGATTATGCTCTCCATCTCCATCGACAAGAGACATCGGGAACTTCAGCGGACCTCATCAATGGACCCGTCTTCATCTTCCTTGCACTGTCAACCCAGCCCAAGACCCCCGTCTCCGCCAGAACCTGCAGAGGAACCCATGCAGCTGGGGAGGACCCACCTTACCCAGGAGGAACGACATCGTCGAATCAGTAAGAGTCTCTGCCTATGCAGTGGACAGCCAGGGCATTACGTCCAGACGGGGCTGGCATTGTTAAAAGGCAGAGCCCACCAGTAGGACCGGGAGTCCTTGTGGGCAGCAACACAGGAAGTACAACCTTCCGGTTCACCCTCCCCTGTTCGGTTGTGTGGGACGGTCAATGCCGCCAGGTCACGGCTCTTGTGGACCTGGGGTGTGAACAATCTCTTATTGACCCCTGACTAATCTGTGACTGGGGGATTCCCACCGTTCCTTTCCTGGAACCCATGCCTGTTTCCTCACTCGATGGGATGACGTTATCTACCATCACTCACAGGACTACGCCACTCCAGCTCAGAGCCTCAGGTAACCACATTGAGACAATATCACTCTTGGTGTTCCCATCTCCTCAGAATCTGGTGGTGCTAGGACATTCATGGCTTGCACTACACAACCCGCACCTGGATTGGTGAGCCAATAGAGTCGAGGCCTGGAGTCTGGCATGCTGCCAGAGGTGCCTCAGCTCAGCTCGTCTGGCTCAGAAGGAATCAGAAGTGACCCCTGCCGAGCCTCCTGACCTCATCCGTGTACTGTCAGTGTACCACGATCTGCAACAGGTTTTTAGCAAGGACCGAGCAGCCACGCTGCCTCTGCACCGCCCCTTCGACTGTGGTATCGACCTGCTTCCCGGCGCCTCGCCTCTACAGTGTCTCCAAGCCGGAGGGACAGCATGGAGAGCTACATCTCAGAGGCCTTGGCCAACGGGACCATAAGACCCTCAACATCTCCCTTAGGTGCCGGCTTCTTTTTCGTTGCCAAGAAGGACGGCTCTCTCCACCCCTGTATCGACTATCGGGGGCTCAACCAGATCACCGTGAAAGACAAGTATCCTCTCCCATTACTGTCTTCCACGTTCAAGCCCGCCCAGGATGCGACTGCCTTCACCCGATTGGACCTTCGTAATGCCTACCACTTAGGATCTGCCAAGGGGACGAATGGAAGACAGCCTTCAAGACACCGCTCGGGCATTTTGAGTACTTGGTGATGCCTTTCGGACTCACCAACGCCCCGGCTGTGTTCCAAAGACTGGTCAACTCGGTATTGGGTGACTATATCAATGACTTTGTAACTGTCTACCTAGAGGACATTTTGAATTTTCCAGGTCGGTCACCCAACACCAGCAGCACGTCAGAGCCATGCTTCAGCGCCTCATGGAGAATAGACTGTATGTAAAGGCAGAGGAATGCAAATTCCATGTCTCTGTTGTTAAGTTTTTAGGTTTTGTTCTGGAGAGTGGACGATTAAAGGCAGACCCCGACAAGGTACAGGTGGTTGCAGACTGGCCCACACCCACAACCCGGAAGCAGTTGCAATGGTTCCTGGGATTTGCCAACTTTTATCGGCGGTTTATCCGTAACTATAGCCAGACTGCCGCTCCTCTAACCCGTCTCACGTCCCTCGCTAAACCTTTCTCTTGGTCTCCAGAAGCCGAGGCTGGGTTCCGAGCCCTCAAGAGGAAGTTCACGGAGGCTCCAGTTCTCACCAGACTGGATCCAAAGCAGCAGTTCACCCTAGAGGTGGGCGCTTCCGACACTGGGGTTGGAGCCGTCCTGTCACAAGTATCGCCCTTGGACCATAAACTCCATCTCTGCGCCTTTTTTTTTTTTTGCAATGGTTGACACCAATGGAGAGCAGGTACGGCGTGGGGGATTGGGAAATATTGGCAGTGAAGCTGGCCCTCGAAGAATGGAGACACTGGCTGGAGGGGGCGGAACACCACTTTGTTATCTGGACCGACCATAAGAACTTGATTTACCTCAAGGAAGCTCGAGCGAGCGCATGAATCAGGAGCTGGGAGCCATGCTGCGCTGTGTGTGCTCCACCAATCCCGCCTCCTGGAGCAACCACCTGGCCTGGATGGAATACGTCCACAACAGCCTCATGTCCTCGGCTACAGGTCAGTACCCCTTTGAAGTTTCCCTTGGTTACCAACACTCTCTGTTTCCCTTCCAGTCTGACTCAACCACCACCACACCACAATTTCTCCTCCGGGCCCGTCGTGCCTGGACCGCCACTAGGGCCGTTCTTCAGCACACTGCTGAAAATAACCAGTGGTTGGCTGACCGACATCGTTGCCCGGCATCAGTCTACACTCCTGGACAGAAGGTCTGTTGTCCTCAAAGGATGTGCCCCTCAAGGCCACATCCAGGACATTTTCCTCTAGGTTCCTTGGCCCTTTTAAGGTTGCAGCGGACCCCAGTCCTGTGACCGTTCGCCTGGACCTCCCACGGTCCCTCAAGATTCATTCCAAGTTTCATGTGTCCTTGGTCAAGCCCGTGGTCATCATCTCTCTCTGTCCGACCCCGGACCCGCCTCCGCCTGCTCAGCTCTACAAGGGGGGTTTGGTCCACCAGGTTCGGCGGATCCTCGACTCTCGTCCCCGGGGATGGGGGGTGCAGTACCTGGTGGACTGGGAGGGTTATGGCCCGGAGGAACGTTCATGGATCCCCCGGCCGTTCATCGAAGATCCCTCCCACATCTACTACTATGAGGCCTCTAGGACCGCTACTGGGGCGTCATGATCCATGAGCCGAGGTGAGCGCTCCTCCTCACTAAACCATCTTTGAGGTTCTCTTTCCACAGGTAAGGATCGGAGGGGACACCAGCTGTGCTGCATTCGTAATCAGAGGCTCTGGTATAAAAGGAGGATGGAGACACCACTCGACGCCGGATGATTGCTACATTTTTGGTTAGCTCCAGCCTCTTGTATTTCGCTTGCTCGCTCATTTGACTTCTTGTGTTTGGATTATTGGATTTTTGACCTTGGACTATTTTCTTGGATTACAACTTTGGATTCGCCTCTGAACCCCTGTCTGCTTGCCCCTGTTTAGGAATACCATCTACTCCTTCACCTACTCTGCCGAGAACCCCGGATCTTCAGGACCACGTCCCATCCTCCTCCATGACTCCTGCTCTTTTCCTCTCCGCTTCCTCACTTTCCCCACTCTGCTGGACCCCCGCCCTCGCTCACCCCGGCTCATCACCTGTTTCGCTGCTCGCTGAGCTTGAACTCTGGACTATCGCCTTACGGCACCCTACTCACTGGACTCCCAGTGCATCTTTAGTTCCCGTTCTCCAAATAAAAGACTTTATTTTTGCTTACCTCCTGAGTCCCATGTTGATTCTGCATGTCTTGGGTTAGACGCCTCCCTCAAGTCATGACATAAACTTGAATGATGAAAATCTTCATGCATCTTCATGGAGAGACACCTGGATGCATGGATGTTTGTTTGCTTGTAGTAAAATTGAAAAAAATGTTTTTATTAAAAGAAGATAATTGGATATGTGCACACAGCTTTACACAGACCCTGCAGTCTGCAGAAAAGCTTACGAAGAGAATGGCTTGATCAGAAGCGACACACAGGACTCAAATTTATAGCAAATTCCTTGCATCTTATTTCATGTTCTCCTTTCATTTGTGTAATTAAAGTAGGCCTTTTGTTTTGGGCCAGGAGATTACAGAGGTCTCAATCAAGCGTGACTGAGGAATGACTTTGTCCGACTTTGGTTCAACCATTAAAGTGCCACAGGTTTGCTCCCTTTTGCTCTTAAATGACTGAAAAGAGAGATTAACATGATTTTGCTTTATCCAGCACGTACAAGCCTCAAAACCATAAAACACAACCCAAAGGCATCCCTGTCCACAGCTGAATATGCACTTGTTACCGCTCTCAATTCGGCTTTCAGCTCCCTCTAAAGAGACAAGACCCAATCACAATATTGTCAAGGCTCTGTTGGTTTTCTGGTTCAAATCCTTGTTCACGCTGTTTGCTGAGTACTCATCTGCTGTGACAGCCTTCAGACAAACAGTGAGTCCTGAAAGAGGTCTTCCACAACCAGATCTTTCCTGCTGGGCAGCGGCTGAAACGCTCCTTTCTCTCTCCATCAAGTGGAACCCATGCTATTGAGCTGGCCCCTGGGATCCTTCCATTGAGGTGGGCTATGGGCCAGTGCTCCCCTCCTCCTTACTGCTGGGCCACCCTCATTCTCCCAGGACACCTGTACCCCTTAAACTTCATCGTGGGAACCTCCTCGCCGTCGTCCGCCACCTGAGCTGCTCGCTGTGCCAGCAGGGCACATCTGACAGCTCAGACGGGAGCCAAGGTAACCAAAGAAAGTCACACAGAGCCAGCTTGATTAAGCTTTCTGAACTTTTCACTGGCAAACTATTGTTCTTTCAGATAGATTAGGAAATCTACACCAAAGTTATGAATCAAACAAGTTGTGTTTTTTCCTATCATAACCATTTTAGATTTGCATATCTGTAAAATAAGCCCACAAAAACACATTTCCAGCTTCGTTTGTACCAGCTTACACACAACCTACTTCATGCACAGCATCGCAAGAAAAAAAATGGCATCAATTAATCAACATTCATGAACCGTTTACTTGAGCTCTCCTTTGTACGCTGCAGGGCCTAATCCAGACAGAGACCAGGCTGTTATGCAGCAGTGCAGACTGCGTCACTCCACCCTTTGTGGGAGAAACCCATCAACTGGTGTTTCAGGGAAATGTCTCTCCCCATTGAGAGCCTAACCTTCCCCCTCTCTCACCCTCTTCCTCTTGTGCCCCCTCACTACTCAGGGCAGGAAGCTCTATCTCTTAGAGGAGGCCATCCATCCATCTTGCCTCTTCCAATCCAATTCACAGCCGCTCAACATGTATGAAGACATCTGTCCATATTTGATCAGATATCCCATTTTGCTGCAAATGATCTCACCCTCCATCCCCACCCGCGAAGGAGGCAGCTATTTAAATGTGCTGATACTTTCCTGCATAATAACCTGCCAATTCTTTGCCTTGCAGAAGAAGCAAGTTTAATTGGGCTGTGCATTTAGAGCTCTTCTACAATTACACAATTACAGCGGAGATGCATTTCTGCATGTTGCGATGTTTGCCCCAATTTACTGCACTTTTCATCCAGTTTAACTCTGGTTGTCTTTTCAGGGGATGCAAATTTGCCTCATTTGGCTTCAAATGAACCATAATTGCCCACATTGAAATCCACACCTTTCTACAAGCGGCTCCTTGCAGTTAGTTCTCATTAAACCTAAGGAGAACAAAAATTCACAATTCCATTTCAGCATGCACGCCATCTGTAACTGCTCGTGTAAAAAGCTAGGAAATTGGAGCCAAAATGGAAGCACGCGGATGGAAAACTTAGGAATCAGTTTATGAAAGTTAGTCGACGGACAGTAACAGTTTCCTGGCTGTGATGCCTGCTTTTTCAAAATTCCTGAAAAGGAGCTCAGATCAATCATTTTATTGGGACATTTTAAGTGATTAATAGACACGACTGTTTGCTGTCCTCACCCTGCAGATGCTTTCGGTTAAGTGCGGTCCAATTAGTTCGAATGGCGTGTGTGTGAACAATCCGATGTTTAAGGAACAGAATAATAATGTGTCAGCTCCCGTGTGTTATCAGCATCAAACAGTTTTCCTCTCCATCCTCCTTCATGACGTTTCAAAAGTTAAAGAAAAAAACTTCTAAAAGGCCCTCGGCTTTCTGAGTGGCTGCCTGAGCCCACTCCAAACAATCCCTCACCAGACACTGTTTAAATTCATATCCGCTCTTCTCGCAGAGGGACAACACAACAAACCACTGACCCACTGATGCACAATTAGAAGTGATGCGGCAGTTAAGGCTACAAGCAACTTTGTTTAACAGTCTGTCTTTGACCCTCCACCACTGAATAAACGCAATGCCCTCAATGAGAATAAGACACTGAGGTGGAGTGAAAAGGGAGCCGGGGAAGATTTTAAGCCACACATAAGTAGTTAAAGACCTTTATAGAGTATAACACCATTATCCCTGCTGAATAAAAATAGGGTTTAGTGTTTTTTCCACTTAATTTAAATCAAAAGAGTCCCCACCTTACATATTGCTCTGGTAATGTAATGGAGAGAGACCCAAAAAAAGTCTTTGTGGCTCTGACACCTCCTATAGTGGGACCGTGTTGTCCTGTGAGCAAAAGGGAAAGAAAGCTTTTTCTTCTTTGCTTTGCTATCTGCTAACACATTCTAATTGATGCCACTGCATTCCTCCACTGGATGCATTCAGTGAATAACGAGCCTTGGACTGAATACCCATGAATTGGTCCCCACCAAGCAAAGCAGTAAAGCCTTTGCACCCCCCAGTCCCAGTCTTTTGGCCTCCTAACACAGCCACCGCCGTCACAACTACGACCGAGCACCACCTCCCCACCGAACTTTCCCCAAAGCTCTGCTCCAGCTTTACCGCCCATTAAAGCACCACCATTGTGCAAAGATGCAGCCCACAAAAGCTGTCAATCTCTCTGGGTCCCTCCAAAGCTTGGACTCACACACAGACTAGAGTGACAAAACACCCCCCAACCCCTTCCTTCACCCCCATCTACCCCAGTTCTCCCTAAAATCCTCTCCTTGAAAACTTCTCGGCTAACTACACCCCTCCTTCTCTCACTCTTCGGCTCTCTCCATCCTCAGCACACAAAGCATCAATCTGTCTTCAGCCCCAGCACCCTTGGCCCTTTGTCCCATCTGCAGGTGCCTCTGAAAGCACCCACGGTTGCCCCAGCCTCTGCGCACGCCACGCCTAGTCCAGGGACAGGAACTGCTGACAAAGACCCAGTGTGGGAATGAGGGATGTGTGGAGGGAGAGAAGGTGGGGGGCTGCTCCAAGACAGATGGCTGGGGAAGTCTCTCGGCTCCTCCGCAGGGGCTGTCAGTTTAAATTCAGAGCTAGGAGTGAGACGACCAAGGCCAGAGCCACCAGAGGAATGCCCGTTGCTTTCACCAGCTACTGTACACGTCATCCAGGACTTTTGGAAGAAGAAATTGTGAAAGAGAGACCAATTGCAATTTAACATTTTCAAAAAATTTCAAAAAATGTGAAGAAAGCCCTTTGTTTAGTGACAGCTGTGCACAGGTCTTTGATAAATGGAGAATATCTCAGTAAATGTCACAGACAAAAATATAATTTTGCACACATTCAAATGTCATTTTTCACTGTGATTGGTGATTTGTTTATTCCAGTAAAGTCCAGCTTCTAGGAGACATGGGATGTTTTTCTCAGAACAAGGTAAAAGGGTGTTGATCCGGATGATGTTTTGTGGTTTTATACTTTGATGGTTGTACTGCTGCGACTCACCAACACGTCAATAAAGCTGTGAGTCCGGATTGTTCCGATAAACAAGCTTAAAGTGTTGGAGCAGAAACTCTCAACTGCCCCTTTGATCTGTAAGAAGCAGCTTCCTTCTTCTGTTTCCTGAAGCCGATTCTCCTCTCCTTCCTCCTGGAGATGTTCAGGGGGAGATTGTTGCCAGAGCATAAACCTTATCCTTCTGAGAGTCACAAATCAACCACAGCACGGTCGTCAGTAAACTTTTAGAAAGGGATTTCTTTTCATGTTGGTTTGAGAGCTTGGGCACAAAGAAACTACAGAAATGGATTCTGTGATTGAGATGCCGATTGTTCTAGAAGAGGTAGATTAGTAGAACCTGAAGGTTTGTAAAACACTACGTTTCTGAAATAAATGGAGACTGCGTTTGAAGTGATTTTAGCTGCACAAAATATGGTCATTTTCAAATACAAGTTGAACCCTCTTACAACTGATTTAGTGCAAAAAAATTTAATTAATTCCAGACAAACTCGCACAAAAACATTCATTAAAATGATGTTTACTTTGTCTCACAAAGTTTACATAAGTGGTTGTTTTTAATGGGGATTAAGACAAATCTAATATTTAGAAACATTCACAGACTGACGGTATCTAGGAGACATGAGGTATCGGCATCAGTAACTGTTTTAGCTGTATCATTTCATTTTTTTTACATTTATGATTTATAATTTTACAGTTGTCAGATATTAAATGACCTTACGAGTTAGCTGAAATGTGACTTTAGTTCAACTTCATTCAGTTTCTCATTTTCCTTCTTTCAGTTTGGGCGCAACAGGTGTGCCTGCTCATAAATGTGCTTGTGTCGCCATCATGTGGACACTTATTAAATCACAAGTGAGGCCAGACTCCTGCTATGGGAAACTCTGGTTTCCAGCAGTAGAAGCACTGACTCACCTAGCAGCAGTAACACTTACAATACTCACAAAACCACTAACAATAGTCC